GGGAAACTAAGTTTTTAATACCTCTAAAAGTATTTTTCCTTCTTGTTTTCCAAAATGTGAGTTTATTGCCGCCTTCAGCTCTTCATCGTCAAAAAAACCGCTTTCCACGGAGATTTTCTTTAAGTTGGGGAACAGAAAGTAATCACTAATTATTTTCTTTCGCTTCATTTTCCCCGATTTTTTCGATCAGTTATCATTTTCCCAACATTGTCGCATCGGTCATTGCATACTTCTTTCGTCAAGGGTAACTAGAACAGCATTGATGATAACTATTAAATGAAAGTTTGTTTTCATATCCTCAGGGAGTGTTGTTACCTATTGAAACGATTTAAATTCCCCCGTCACTGCCAAATTATCCCGATACCGAGTACTGTGAATGGCCCTCGTATGTCTCCTGGAAAATCCTTAGAATCCATTGAGGGATTTCTCTCTTCATCGGTGCGAATCAATTTGGGTTTAAGGGTCAGTTCTCACCCGTATAGACCGCGATGGTGGCGGGTGCGTTGCCGTTCTTCCGTGACGATCGAACATTGTTCTTGATATCCAATCGGGTCTGTTTCGGGTTCATCGAAGATCTCTCTGACAAAGGCTGAGCTATGCAGCCGTTCTAGCAATCCTGATAGTTTCGCAATCTTCCCGGGTATCTTTTAAGTGTGCATCTTCGGTTGTCATCCCCTGATCGGCCGCTCAAGTACGTTCTAGGATCTCCACGGGATCAGTTCCATGCAATTACTGTCTTTTCATGCACATGTGCTGTGTTGTTTTGGCGCGGGTGGCAGGTGTGCTGCCGTCTGTCACTGAGGCCATGTTTGCCTACGATGTTTACGGCTGCTCAGGTCAACTCTACACTTCCATCAACCCTGACCTGTCTCACCCATATCACTAAAGGGACTAAGAAAGACTGCTTTCGATCGCTACGGGGGTTTGTTCCGGGAAGTTGCCTTCTAGACAGCGGCGACGTCGGCTGTCACTGTCTCTCAACAACAAAAGCGACTGCACAAGTGAGACCAGTTGCACCCCGACCTCCGCCGCTTCACTGCACGGGGCTAATTGTGTTCACTTGACTTTTGTGGCTGTGTCATCGTTGTTGATGGCTGAAGTGTCGGATGCTTCTTTGTCGTTCTTGACATAATCATCGCATCTGCGCTCCCCATCGACAAGGATACAGTTCAAGGACAGGTCACACTGTTCATACTAGCCATTTAGCGCTCTTGTCACGTCGTTACACCCGTCCCTTCTACTCGTGTTTCAGTGATCTAATTAATCCCGTCTTAATCTCTCATTGGCTCGGCTCCTCATGGCCAATCTATGGCATTGACTCTTGAAAATGGGCGTGGTTTCAAAATGCTACCGTTCCCCACGCGTTCGTTCCCTCGCGGTTAGTGAAAACGGGGAAATCTTCGCTAGCTGCTGCCGTCTCCGGTTTGGCCGCGTTGATCGTCGTCCCGGATTCGGCATGAAGAGGATGCAACTTGGGTCACTCGGTCGTGAACTCGATAGCCGCGTTCTGGGTCTCACAGCGTGGCGCACTCCCTCGAAGGCTCTAATACCCCACCCGTTGTCGGTCCATTTCGGCGTCTATGCGTTTCGTCAACTCTCTCGGCTATTCGCTAATTTTCAGCCGGTCTTGAACACGTTCCTTTTTTCGGAACCCCTTCACTTGCTATCTGTGGCCGCGTCAAGATACGCAACATTCAGCCTTACCGATAGAGAAGGACCCTTTGCACCTTGTCTCCATTTCTGCTTGTATGAAACAGTTCTCTCACTTTATCATTCAACTGCCCTTATCACTTTGCTTTGGGAGCTGATTCACCCCATTTACTTCTGAGGAAGGAAGGGACTGACGTTTCGATGTGTACCCGAGACTGTTTACCTCCCCGTTCTTTCCCTCGCCAGCCACCACTCCATTCCTCGTCGCGCTGTCTATTTTTGTTTCGAAAGCCCACAGGCACAGTGTAGATTTGCGGTGCGATCCGCCTCTGTAAACGCCTGATGTTTGTTGAGCGCAACGAAAATAGCCACACAGGCCTCCTTTCTGCATGGACTGGACCTCACTCTGGCCACAACGAACAATACCTCGCGGTCAGTTCACCTCTCCATTTCGTCGGTCGCCACCACTTCAACTTCGCATTTTCATTGAGGACTGGGAACTGTGGGGGAGGGGGTGAGAACCGCTGGAGCAGTGGCTATCATAGCTTACTCACATTTGGTGTACACCTTGTCCTCAAGCAGTAAACATTGTTTTTCATGAGTGCTTTCTCTATTATAGCGTCCTGTGTGTAGTAAAAGTAACTTTCACTTTCTTTTAACCTAGAAAAGTTAACTTTCACCTACTTTTAATCATTCAAAACAACGCCATTGATTAGCCTGGCCTGTTGCGATCAGTGCTATGATGAGCAAGCCTATTGTTTTTTGTTTCGTAGTCAAGTTATTCATTTGGGGTTCCCTGTTGTCTGGGAACTTCACTATACTTCATTTACAGGAGTAAGTCAATATTAGAATTTCATTAAGAAATTACCACTTCTCTTGTGAGTCTTTGCTGGGCTTGTGACTGCCTGACATGACAGATCATCTATCTATTGCAAAGTACTTCCATTTGAATGAAATTTTCCTCTGAATATAGCTCGCAATCTAGCTCCTTTTGTCTGAGAAAAGCCCTTTCTGTTAGTTCTGGCAGTTTTTTTTATTATCAAACAGATCTCGAGAGCCTTTAGCTGTAAACCCTTGAATAATAAGGGTTTATTCTCAATGGCACGAAGACAAAAATTTGAGTCACTTGACTACTGAAAGGAATACTCTTCTATCCACTTTTTTCCGATTTGTGCTACTTTGTCTATTGCTGTTTTCCATCGCAAAATGCTCCGAAAAGCGTGAGTGCTATAAGCACGGACTGAGGTCAAGGGTTCCGCGAGTGTCACGGAAATTTTGTCATACATTTTGTTCGTGAATCCTACTTTCACGAAGTATTCATTCCATGAAGTCGAGCAGGTAAAGCGTCGGCAACTATCCAGGGGTATCGAAGGCAGCGTACATTATCGTTTAGCGAACCCATCAACCCCTCGTCTTTAGGTATCGAGAAAAACTCCCCAGATGTTTTCTCGTTTTACGCACGACATGCAGTAGATCACCGCTCAAGGAGCAGACTTTCTCGGCAAATTCGCTGGGGCGTAGGTAGATTGTGGGTCGGGCTCGTGCTGATACCACCTTTTTATCCATCCTAAAGCTGTACCCTGATTGAATATTCTGTCTCTTCTCCTTCTGAGCTTATCCTGCTCGATGATCATTCATGTTACCAAAAGAGGGGAGCAGTTCAGCAAGCATTTTGCACTTCCACCAGCCAAAATCCTACCTACTTAAGCTGATCATGCAACTTCTTATGAGACAATGAACATCGACCAGATGGAAACAATGGAAAGTTCGTAATGCCCTCACCCCGTCGGCGAACTGCTCCCCAGGGAGGTAAAGCTAATCGGTATGTCTAAGAAAACCTTGTTTGTAGCTTCTTCGAGGGGCAGTTCGGCGACGGGGGCATTTTGCACCTTTTTGCATACTTCCCATCGTAGCAGACCCATCTGGAAAGCTATTTCATGAGCTTACAAGGATTGACAGATTTTAACGAGGTGGCTCTACGAGCTTGCTCCAGCTTCACAAGAGTTCTCAGGTTCTACCAGAGTTGTACTTGTAAACAGGAACTAGTGAAGCAACGAAAGTGCAAAATGCCCACTCTGTCGCCGAACTGCGTCCTTCTTCAACCCGGGAGGTTCTCAGTTTGCAGCGTTCTCCGTGTGGGTAGAAGCGTGTTGAAATAGGGAACTCCAAAGACCCACCAAGAGCGGGAACCAAAAGGACTGGTGGAGACTAGCTTCATGTTGGAAATTTCGTAGGAGAAGCTGGAGTGAATTTTAAAAACAATATTGATTAATCTGATGTTCCAATATCCAGTAAGATGAAGCGGGAAGTGTTAAAGGCCCTATAGGTATCATTCTGATCTGTGCTCTGAAGTAGCACCTCATTTTATCTTATCTCTGTTTCTCTTTTCTCTCTTGTTCTTTTCTACCCTTTCTTGTTCAGTGTCGACCTAACCCGGCTTTGTCGCTCATTGTCACTAGCAGCAGTAACAAGCCGTATTGGGCATAATTTCGCTCGTGGCTGCCTGCCTGCCGTTTCCACACCCGGTTCCGCTGCCTATTCGGGTCTCGAAACTAGGTCAACTCAACGTTATAATGCGCTTTACGCAGTTCGTCATATTGTAGCCGCTCGTATGCTTTTACATAATACAGAATATGTACGTGACAACGCTTTCGGTGACCACCGTTCGCCTACCCTCGTGGAGATTCCCGTCCGCTCCAGCCGCGGCCAAATCCATTTCAATCTGACTCGTTGACTTTTCGAATAGTCCGGACGTGGTGCGAACAAGGACATGGGTCGTGTGAAAACGAGAGTGGGGCGACGACCTATTCGTCTCCCTGAAACTCGCCGTGGAACGTCGTCGCCGTCAGTGGTCCGCGTACGGGAAGCGCGTCCTCCTCGAATCGCGCCCTCTCTCGCGGCGACAATCTCCGATCCGGCTTCGGGGCTCGCCTTCCAACAGGTTTTCTAATCGAAATGGAAATCGGCTGGGGCCGCGGTCACTCCTGGCCAAAGGCCGGTTTCGGGCATGTAGGTCGACCCCTAGGGGAGAGCGCGCCAGCGCATCCGGGTGACGGTAATTGCTTGCGCATCTATGTACCTGCTCTCTGCATTCTGCTCGGCTTCATACGCATAACCGTCTCGTCGTCGGCGGACCCGTTTTTGGGCGAAGTGCGTTTTTTTCCCTCTTGGCGTAGAGTGCGGCTTTGAGACGATTTCGTTGACAACTGGGCCTGTTTGGACTCAACGAGATGGATGGCTAGCGAATCCTCGGTGGCCAGCCATCTCCTTCTTCGTTACTTATCGTCTCTTTTATTTCGTACTGCTCGAATAGCCCAATTCTTGTGGAATCTAAATAGAATTTTCTAAAGATGGATGTCGATTCTTCGTCATCTTCGCCCTCGGAGCGGTTGTCGGTCGTGTGTTCTGCGTCTGCCGAGTACAGCTCAAATTCTTCTGAACACTCTCCTCATTCAAGAAGGTAAGCAGTCTTTTTGGCTCACCAAGTAACTTCCGACACATCTATTTTTTTAAGGAATTCCGTTGGCGAGAGCGTCTTGAAGGACGAGCAGTACTGGGAGCGACGCCGAAAAAACAACGACGCATCGAAGCGTTCTCGAGAAAAGAGGAGAATAGGAGATATGGTAATTCTTCTTTATGGAACTTTGCTTTCATTAGGTTCTTTGACCGGTCTAGTACCTGCAGAGCGTCGTTCTCTCTCCCACCCCTCCTCCCTTGCTCTCCTGCGCCCCACTCCCACAGATAAAAGGCTGTTTTATCGTTCGTGGGTTCCTTATTTCTCCAGGATGGGATGAAAGAAATAGGCTTTTGTACAGTGAAAAGGAGACGTTACGTTCCTGGGAATGGCACCCACCGTAGATCATGTAAACACCTCGAACCCACAACTTTATATGTGCTTAAAAGTATATTTATAGGCAATGGAACAGCGTATACTGGCGCTTTCACAGGGAAGAATCACCTACTGAAGTCTCGCTTGGAATCCCGAACAGCAGCTGAAAGTCTGCTACAGACCGCCCGTTCGGACTTTCCCGCTCTTCCTCCACAGAGCAGCACGGTAAGCTAAGTGAACGAACTGTAAGCTGGAGCTTCATGGGTAAATTTTCCTTCATCTTACTCAGAGGCAGTGCTGAAGAAATTACGGACAGCGCACTTTCCGCCGCTGAGAAAAATTTTGCAAAATGCGACCTTCTTAAAGT